CGGGCACCTAGTGTTTACACAGGGACCTCTTGTTGTACTCAATCCCTATACTCCAGAAACTGTGCAGCCTGTGTTATCATCTCCATCCTGCTGTATTCTCTGGTACATCTGATATTGTTGGTTGGCTGTACATACAAGTGGTCAAACATAATATCAGGAATATTCCAGAATATAGTCCCTGTCTATGGGTTTTGAGGCCCCATGGTGGGGAACACCAGATTAGACCTGCTGCCTCCCCAATGATGTCCTGGAAGTCAACTATCAAGGAAACATCTTCTGAAATGAAAGTACTTCTGCCTGAGAGGCAAGGAACCAGCACTCTGCATACAGATAAGCCAGATGTGTCAAACATTTGTGCATGCCAGACTCGGGTTTTGAAGCAGGACTAAAGTCCAGAGGTGGACGAGTACCCAGAACCATCTGCTGGAGTGAACATGAAGAAGAAGATGTTTTGCCATGAGGGTTTCGTCAAAGCTTACAGCAGAAGCGAAACTCTAGATAACACTTGCATACTGCCAGCATAGCCACCTGGGAGTGAATGGTCAATCAAGCATAAACCTTGCTGACTGAATTTCTGTAGCACAAGCTTCTGATCTCATTGGCTAGATGGGGACCAGGGATGTTTGAAGCCCACTAGCAACATTCTTGCCTTATTGTCTAGTGACTAACGCATATTTGATCATGAACACCACACTATTTCTACAACATTCTTGCCTCTCTTGCCTTATTGTCTAGTGACTAACGCATGTTTGATCATGAACACCACACTATCTCTACAACATTCTTGCTTCTCTTGCCTTATTGTCTAGTGACTAACGCATGTTTGATCATGAACACCACACTATCTCTACAACATTCTTGCCTCTATTGCCTTATTGTCTAGTGACTAACGCATGTTTGATCATGAACACCACACTATCTCTACAACATTCTTGCCTCTATTGCCTTATTGTCTAGTGACTAACGCATGTTTGATCATGAACACCACACTATCTCTACAACATCCTTGCCTCTATTGCCCTATTGTCTAGTGACTAACGCATATTTGATCATGAACACCACACTATCTCTACAACACCCTTGCCTCTATTGCCTTATTGTCTAGTGACTAACGCATGTTTGATCATGAACACCACACTATCTCTACAACACCCTTGCCTCTCTTGCCCTATTGTCTAGTGACTAACGCATGTTTGATCATGAACACCACACTATCTCTACAACACCCTTGCCTCTCTTGCCTTATTGTCTAGTGACTAACGCATATTTGATCATGAACACCACATTATCTCTACAACACCCTTGCCTCTATTGCCTTATTGTCTAGTGACTAACGCATATTTGATCATGAACACCACACTATCTCTACAACACCCTTGCCTCTCTTGCCCTATTGTCTAGTGACTAACGCATGTTTGATCATGAACACCACACTATCCCCACAACAGCCCCACAGCCCCTGTGGCTGCTGTAAAAATGCACATTAGGTTATCTGGCTGTGTTAGTGATGATTGGAGGACCCAGATCTTTGACATCTAGTCCATTTATCTATCTCTCCGTAACCTGTTTGACCTCAGTATTGTACCTCAGTAAGTGTAACTCCTCATCTCAGTGGGTTTACTGTCTTCTGACTTAGACTCCAGTAACTATCATGTCTTCCCCCTCAAACCTTTGTGTTTCTCATGTTGTCTCCCTTAAACCGTGTGGTGCTCATGTCTTCTCCCTTCAACCTGTTTGGTCCTCATATCTTTTCTCTTGAACCGTGTTGTGCTCATGTCTTCTCCCTTCAACCTGTTTGGTCCTCATATCTTTTCTCTTGAACCGTGTTGTGCTCATGTCCTTTCCCTTCAACCTGTTTGGTCCTCATATCTTTTTCCTTGAACCGTGTGGTGCTCATGTCCTCTCCCTTCAACCTGCTTGGTCCTCATATCTTTTCCCTTGAACCGTGTGGTCCTCATGCCTTCTTTCTTAAACCTGTTAGGTCCCCCTTGTCTTCCTTCCTTGATCATTTGTGGTTATCCTGACTGCTCCTTTGAACCTCTATAGTTCGTGGGTCTTCTGCATTAAACATGGTTCGAGGTGTCTCATCTAAAACACAAAACCAGAGCTGCAGCAAAAAAGGGCTTCCCAGAGAAATTGTTTCCAGACTTGTATATGTGTGTGTGAATACATCAGTGCATGTGTTTTTGTTTGTGTACACGTATGCATGTTCTTGTGTATGTGTATGTTTATGTTTGTGTGATTATGTGTATGAATCACTGTATTTACCTACAGATATATGTGTGTGTATGTGATCATGTATGAGTATATTGATTTGTCATACCATTACCATGCTTTTGTGTTTGCATTTAGTATTCCTGTTATGTTTGTTGCTAAACAGATTTATCATGTGTTATAGATAAAATGCAGTTACTGTATGAAAATTGAGTATGTAGTCAGTCAGGAATGTTTGCCCAATTTGGGCAGTTTAAAAAAATAAAGTTTGCTCTTTCATAGATTCATCATTTGTACCCAGACTTTCACTTTAATGTCTCCACTTGAAGTTGCTTTGAGTTTTAGGCTCATGAAACAGCTGAAATACAAATTAGCCAATGGTATTTAATTATGCATACGGCACACACTCACACAAACTAGCCAATGGTATTTAGCAATCTACACAACACACACAAACTAGCCAATGGTATTTAGCAATGCACAAAACAGCACAAATTAGCCAGTACTATTTAAGAAAGAACACAGTAGGCGGAGCTTGTTATTATGTAAGGAATGTTGTTTAATGCTCTGTTTTTATTTGGGAACATTGTCCACAAGAATAACAGAACAGTGGACATGTCCAAAAACTGTAGTGGTCAGTGTCAGTCACTGGGCACCTTGCAGGCAGCATCACCAGTCTGAAACCTGCAGGCAGACTGGACATGTGTATCATCTAAAACCTGCAGGAATGTGAGAGTTGCTGAACATGTGTATCATCTAAAATCTGCAGGAATGTGAGAGTTGCTAAACATGTGTGTCATCTAAAGCCTGCAGGAATGTGAGAGTTGCTGAACTTGTGTGTCATCTAAAACCTGCAGGAATGTGAGAGTTGCTGAACATGTGTATCATCTAAAACCTGCAGGAATGTGAGAGTTGCTGAGCATGTTTGTCATCTAAAACCTGCAGGAATGTGAGAGTTGCTGAACATGTGTGTCATCTAAAACTTGCAGGAATCTGAGAGTTGCTGAACATGTGTCATCTTAAACCTGCAGGAATGTGAGAGTTGCTGAACATGTGTATCATCTAAAACCTGCAGGAATCTGAGAGTTGCTGAACATGTATCATCTAAAACCTGCAGGAATGTGAGAGTTGCTGAACATGTGTGTCATCTAAAACCTGAAGGAATCTGAGAGTTGCTGAACATGTTTGTCATCTAAAACCTGCAGGAATCTGAGAGTTGCTGAACATGTGTGTCATCTAAAACTTGCAGGAATCTGAGAGTTGCTGAACATGTGTCATCTTAAACCTGCAGGAATGTGAGAGTTGCTGAACATGTGTATCATCTAAAACCTGCAGGAATCTGAGAGTTGCTGAACATGTATCATCTAAAACCTGCAGGAATGTGAGAGTTGCTGAACATGTGTGTCATCTAAAACCTGCAGGAATCTGAGAGTTGCTGAACATGTTTGTCATCTAAAACCTGCAGGAATCTCTGAACATGTGTCATCTTAAACCTGCAGGAATGTGAGAGTTGCTGAACATGTGTATCATCTAAAACCTGCAGGAATCTGAGAGTTGCTGAACATGTATCATCTAAAACCTGCAGGAATGTGAGAGTTGCTGAACATGTGTGTCATCTAAAACCTGCAGGAATGTGAGAGTTGCTGAACATGTATCATCTAAAACCTGCAGGAATGTGAGAGTTGCTGAACATGTGTGTCATCTTAAACCTGCAGGAATGTGAGAGTTGCTGAACATGTGTATCATCTAAAACTTGCAGGAATCTGAGAGTTGCTGAACATGTATCATCTAAAACCTGCAGGAATGTGAGAGTTGCTGAACATGTGTATCATCTAAAACCTGCAGGAATGTGAGAGTTGCTGAACATGTTTGTCATCTAAAACCTGCAGAAATGTGAGAGTTGCTGAACATGTGTTATCTAAAACCTGCAGGAATGTGAGAGTTGCTGAACATGTGTATCATCTAAAACCTGCAGGAATGTGAGAGTTGCTGAACATGTTTGTCATCTAAAACCTGCAGGAATGTGAGAGTTGCTGAACATGTGTATCATCTAAAACTTGCAGGAATCTGAGAGTTGCTGAACATTTGTCATCTAAAACCTGCAGGAATCTGAGAGTTGCTGAACATGTGTCATCTAAAACCTGCAGGAATCTGAGAGTTGCTGAACATGTGTGTCATCTTAAACCTGCAGGAATGTGAGAGTTGCTGAACATGTGTATCATCTAAAACCTGCAGGAATGTGAGAGTTGCTGAACATGTGTGTCATCTTAAACCTACAGGAATGTGAGAGTTGCTGAACATGTGTGTCATCTTAAACCTGCAGGAATGTGAGAGTTGCTGAACATGTGTATCATCTAAAACCTGCAGGAATGTGAGAGTTCCTGAACATGTGTATCATCTAAAACCTGCAGGAATGTAAGAGTTGCTGAACATGTGTGTCATCTTAAACCTGCAGGAATGTGAGAGTTGCTGAACATGTGTGTCATCTTAAACCTGCAGGAATGTGAGAGTTGCTGAACATGTGTATCATCTAAAACCTGCAGGAATGTGAGAGTTCCTGAACATGTGTATCATCTAAAACCTGCAGGAATGTGAGAGTTGCTGAACATGTGTGTCATCTTAAACCTGCAGGAATGTGAGAGTTAACATTTATATCATCTAAAATTCACAGGAATGTGAAAGTTGCAGGACATGTGTGTCATCTAAAACCTGCAGGAATGTGAAAGTTGCTGAACATGTTTGTCATCTAAAACCTGCAGGAATGTGAGAGTTGCTGAAAATGTGTGTCATCTAAAACCTGCAGGCAGGTAAGATTTGCTGAATCCAGGCAAGCCTGTGGCCGCTGCCATGTTTGAAGCCAACATGTCTTCCTGGTAGAGTAAGCCATCTTGGCGGGGATACTGCCCACTGGGTGGCGTGATTTCCATGAAGCTGTTGCCATAAGGACCCACTGCTAGGGAAGAAGCCACTAGGGAGATAAAGCAGAAGCAATGCAATCATTCCACAAGAGAATTAGATGATTCTTTTGTTTAGGCAAAACAAAAACAAAAATGATGCAGAGACATACAATACATTGCACAATTTATTGCCTAACATATACAGATCAAACAGCTGTAAGACTAAAGACAACAGTAATGAATATTTTGCTGTATCTCGTTAGGTGCATCACTACAGAGTTACAATAATGTATAATGAAGTGTAAATAATTACAGTCAATATCTTGTCTTGAATAATGTCATTGAAATGGGTGACTGTAGTCAAGATTCACAGAATAAAGAAGTAAAGCTCAAAATAATCAAATGAAATTAACTGGAAAGCTGAACGAATGGAAAGCAAAAATGGAAGAAGCTGAACGAATGGAAAGCAAAAATGGAAGAAGCTGAACGAATGGAAAGCAAAAATGGAAGAAGCTGAACGAATGGAAAGCAAAAATGGAAGAAGCTGAACGAATGGAAAGCAAAGATGGAAGAAGCTGAATGAATGGAAAGCAAAGATGGAAGAAGCTGAACGAATGGAAAGCAAAGATGAAAGAAGCTGAACGAATGGAAAGCAAAGATGGAAGAAGCTGAACGAATGGAAAGCAAAGATGGAAGAAGCTGAACGAATGGAAAGCAAAGATGAAAGAAGCTGAACGAATGGAAAGCAAAGAGGGAAGAAGCTGAACGAATGGAAAGCAAAGATGGAAGAAGCTTAACGAATGGAAAGCAAAGATGGAAGAAGCTTAACGAATGGAAAGCAAAGATGGAAGAAACTGAACCAATGGAAAGCAAAGATGGAAGAAACTGAACCAATGGAAAGCAAAGATGGAAGTTTGTGAAAGAATAAACTGGACACACAGCACCACACGAGCAGTTAATCCATGTGTGATAGACACGAGACTCCATCCATGATAGACAAGAGCATTCATGATAGACACGAGACTCCATTCATGATAGACACAAGACTCCATTCATGATAGACACGAAACTCCATTCATGATAGACACGAGACTCCATTCATGATAGACAAGAGACTCCATTCATGATAGACACGAGACTATTCATGATAGACATAAGACTCCATTCATGATAGACACAAGACTCCATTCATGATAGACACGAGACTCCATTCATGATAGACACGAGACTCCATTCATGATAGACAAGAGACTCCATTCATTTCTTAGCTGCTGAGGTTGCTGACTGCCAGTACGGAACATATGACTGCTACATACCAGATCGGTTTTATACTCAGAGCTGCTGTTTGTAAAGATGGTATGGTCAGACTTGTCCACTGTTAGCATCACTGTACATTTGTCAGCACAAGTGTGTGGATTTTACATGTTAGACAATGATAAGAAATTTATAAAATATAGACCTAGCACTATATGGCCGATATGCCTGAAAGATTGGACAATGGTCGTTTGCTTTTACTTGTTACTGGGGTAACGGCTTGGCCATCGAGCCTTCTCAGACAAGGGTGAAATACTGGGAGGAGCCAAACATTGACAGACAGCATAGATGATTCTAGCTCATAAATATTTTACTTCTCAGATAAAAGAAAGTGAAGACGGTTAACAGATTTCGTAGGACTAGTATTATCATTAGTAGGTGTGGTGTCAGTTGTTATAGGACTAGTATTATCATTAGTAGGTGTGGTGTCAGCTATTATAGGACTAGTATTATCATTAGTAGGTGTGGTGTCAGTTGTTATAGGACTAGTATTATCATTAGTAGGTGTGGTGTCAGTTGTTATAGGACTAGTATTATCATTAGTAGGTGTGGTATCAGTAGTTGTAGGACTAGTATTATCATTAGTAGGTGTGGCGTCAGTTGTTATAGGACTAGTATTATCATTAGTAGGTGTGGTGTCAGCTATTATAGGACTAGTATTATCATTAGTAGGTGTGATGTCAGTTGTTATAGGACTAGTATTATCATTAGTAGGTGTGGTGTCAGTTGTTATAGGACTAGTATTATCATTAGTAGGTGTGGTGTCAGCTATTATAGGACTAGTATTATCATTAGTAGGTGTGGTGTCAGTTGTTATAGGACTAGTATTATCATTAGTAGGTGTGGTGTCAGTTGTTATAGGACTAGTATTATCATTAGTATGTGTGGTGTCAGCTGTTGCAGGACTAGTATTATCATTAGTAGGTGTTGTGTCAGCTGTTGCAGGACTAGTATTATCATTAGTAGGTGTAGTGTCAGCTGTTATAGGACTAGTATTATCATTAGTAGGTGTGGTGTCAGCTGTTGTAGGACTAGTATTATCATTAGTAGGTGTGGTGTCAGCTGTCATGGGACTAATATTATCATTAGTAGGTGTGGTGTCAGCTGTTATAGGACTAATATTATCATTAGTAGGTGTGGTGTCAGCTGTTATAGGACTAGTATTATCATTAGTAGGTGTGGTGTCAGCTGTTGCAAGACTAGTATTATCATTAGTAGGTGTTGTGTCAGCTGTTGTAGGACTAATATTATCATTAGTGGGTGTTGTGTCAGCTATTATAGGACTAGTATTATCACTAGTAGGTAGTAGTATTTTCATTAGAAAGTGTGCCAGGATGTTTATCCGTTGTATAAACCTATAAACCTAATAGGTTTAGTGGCAGCTGCTGTAGGTGTATTACTATCATTATTAGTTTTTTTTTCTCCAGATGTTGCAGGAATAACGGCAGCATCAGTTGGGGTGGTAGTGTTCGGGAGACAAGTGTAGTAATGATACACTCAGATACTGGTTTCACAGTATTGTCCCTAGTGACACAAGGAACACACATGCGGGTTTCACAATATGGCCCCTAGTGAGACAAGGAACACACACATACGGGTTTAACAATATGGCCCGTAGTGAGACAAGGAACACACAGATACGGGTTTAACAATATGGCCCCTAGTGAGACAAGGAACACACAGATACGGGTTTAACAATATGGCCCCATGTGAGACAAGAAACACACAGATACGGGTTTAACAATATGGCCCCATGTGAGACAAGAAACACACAGATACAGGTTTAACAATATGGCCCCATGTGAGACAAGAAACACACAGATACGGGTTTAACAATATGGCCCCTAGCGAGACAAGGAACACACAGATACGGGTTTAACAATATGGCCCCTAGTGAGACAAGGAACACACAGATTCGGGTTTAACAATATGGCCCCTAGTGAGACAAGGAACACACAGATACGGGTTTAACAATATGGCCCCTAATGAGACAAGGAACACACAGATACGGGTTTAACAATATGGCCCCTAGTGAGACAAGGAACACACAGATAAGGGTTTAACAATATGGCCCCTAGTGAGACAAGGAACACACAGATCCGGGATTTACAATATGGCCCCTAGTGAGACAAGGAACACACAGATCCGGGATTTACAATATGGCCCCTAGTGAGACAAGGAACACACAGATCCGGGATTTACAATATGGCCCCTAGTGAGACAAGGAACACACAGATCCGGGTTTTACAATATGGCCCCTAGTGAGACAAGGAACACACAGATCCGGGTTTTACAATATGGCCCCTAGTGAGACAAGGAATACACAGCTATTCACCTTGAATGGAGTCTGGCGTGTAGTACATGGCAGATCTGCCGGCATCGAACGACGGACTTGGCCTAGCAAAACTGTCCAGTGTAGAGTTGCTCCTAGCCAGCCCATCTAGTGCTGCATTGGCCCGGGACAGTCCGTCAAATGTTGAACTGGACCTGCCGAAACTATCCTGGTACATGGTGCTCCGGAGGAATGGGTTCTTCTTATAGCTGTCGTACGTGTGTTGGTAGCTGGGGTAGGCCAGCTGTGTGTAGGCATCACTGAGACCAGCCTGATGTGGTCTAACCTCAGTCCAGTAGCCTGGCGGTGCTGACGAGGCGGGGTTGACACCAGGGTTAAAGTTCACTGAATGAAAGGCTTGTGAAGCTGTGTGGTCAGAGAAGGGTTGAACCGGCCTCGGTGTAGCGAATGTGTTTGTGTGGCTGACATAGTCGTTGTAGGTGTTGAAGCTGAATGTGGGAATATAGGCTGAGCGATCGTAGGGTGGGAAATGTTTGACCGGCGACAGTGGCACCGAGTTAGAGCTGATGGCACTGGGTCGGAGCATGCTTCGGCATTGTGTGGCCAATGATGAGGAGACGTTGTTGACGACCACGGTGTCTCTGTGTGCTGGTTGTGTAGGCCATGAGAAAGCTGTACTGGTCATTGATTCGTAATGGGAAGGAAGTGGTGGCGCTTGCGTGTAAGATGTGCAGTGTTCTTCGGTGTCTGTGGCATCTAGCTCATCTGCAGAAGTAGAAAAGCTGGTTCAAAAAAACGGATCAGTTCACATCTGAGAAACAGTGAGTCATCAAAGTTATGTGCATTTGATAGAGAATCCTAAAAACGGATCATTTCACATCTGAGAAAACACTGAGTCATCAAAGTTGTGTGCATTCGATAGAGAATCCTAACAACGGATCATTTCACATCTGAGAAAACACTGAGTCATCAAAGTTGTGTGCATTTGATAGAGAATCGTAAAAACGGATCATTTCACATCTGAGAAAACACTGAGTCATCAAAGGTGTCTGCATTCGATAGAGGTTCCCAAAACGCGACTGATCCTGTAGACGTAGACACAATCTGTCTAGCAAGTCAGCTGACTGTTCCAAAGGTCAACACAGGGGACTTTGTGGGGATGTTGGGCAAAAGAATTTAAAATATTGCTCCACTGTTCACAAACATTGTTCACACAGAACTATCTATAATATTCTTGCACTATTTACAAACATTGTTTATGCAAAATGATTTAAAACGTTGTTATGTGTTGAGAAACGTTCCCGCGAAACTTTCCAAAATATTGTTGCAGTGTTCACAAATATTGTTCATACAAAACTAAAATATTTTTATAGTGTTGCCTGAGGTAGCTACTAGTCTATTAGCGACCACACTGTTGCCCGAGGTAGCTACTAGTCTATTAGCGACCACACTGTTGCCTGAGGTAGCTACTGGTCTATTTGCTACCACACTGTTGCCTGAGGTAGCTACTGGTCTATTTGCTACCACACTGTTGCCTGAGGTAGCTACTGGTCTATTTGCTACTATAATGTTGCCTGAGGTAGCTACTAGTCTATTTGCTACTACAGTGTTGCCTGAGGTAGCTACTAGTCTATTTGCTACTACAGTGTTGCCTGAGGTAGCTAATGGTCTATTTGCTACCACACTGTTGCCTGAGGTAGCTACTAGTCTATTTGCTACCACAATGTTGCCTGAGGTAGCTACTGGTCTATTTGCTACCATAATGTTGCCTGAGGTAGCTACTGGTCTATTTGCTACCACAATGTTGCCTGAGGTAGCTACTGGTCTATTTGCTACCATAATGTTGCCTGAGGTAGCTACTGGTCTATTTGCTACCACACTGTTGCCTGAGGTAGCTACTGGTCTATTTGCTACTACAGTGTTGCCTGAGGTAGCTACTAGTCTATTTGCTACTATAATGTTGCCTGAGGTAGCTACTAGTCTATTTGCTACTATAATGTTGCCTGAGGTAGCTACTGGTCTATTTGCTACCACACTGTTGCCTGAGGTAGCTACTGGTCTATTTGCTACCACACTGTTGCCTGAGGTAGCTACTAGTCTATTTGCTACTATAATGTTGCCTGAGGTAGCTACTGGTCTATTTGCTACCACACTGTTGCCTGAGGTAGCTACTAGTCTATTTGCTACTACAGTGTTGCCTGAGGTAGCTACTGGTCTATTTGCTACCACACTGTTGCCTGAGGTAGCTACTAGTCTATTTGCTACTATAATGTTGCCTGAGGTAGCTACTAGTCTATTTGCTACCACACTGTTGCCTGAGGTAGCTACTAGTCTATTTGCTACTACAGTGTTGCCTGAGGTAGCTACTAGTCTATTTGCTACTATAATGTTGCCTGAGGTAGCTACTGGTCTATTTGCTACTATAATGTTGCCTGAGGTAGCTACTAGTCTATTTGCTACCACACTGTTGCCTGAGGTAGCTACTAGTCTATTTGCTACCACACTGTTGTCTGAGGTAGCTACTGGTCTATTTGCTACTACAGTGTTGCCTGAGGTAGCTACTGGTCTATTTGCTACCACACTGTTGCCTGAGGTAGCTACTAGTCTATTTGCTACTATAATGTTGCCTGAGGTAGCTACTGGTCTATTTGCTACTACACTGTTGCCTGAGGTAGCTACTGGTCTATTTGCTACTACACTGTTGCCTGAGGTAGCTACTGGTCTATTTGCTACCACAATGTTGCCTGAGGTAGCTACTAGTCTATTTGCTACTATAATGTTGTCAGAGGTAGCTACTAGTCTATTTGCTACTATAATGTTGTCTGAGGTAGCTACTAGTCTATTTGCTACTACACTGTTGCCTGAGGTAGCTACTGGTCTATTTGCTACCATAATGTTGCCTGAGGTAGCTACTGGTCTATTTGCTACCACACTGTTGCCTGAGGTAGCTACTGGTCTATTTGCTACTACAGTGTTGCCTGAGGTAGCTACTAGTCTATTTGCTACTATAATGTTGCCTGAGGTAGCTACTGGTCTATTTGCTACTATAATGTTGCCTGAGGTAGCTACTAGTCTATTTGCTACTATAATGTTGCCTGAGGTAGCTACTGGTCTATTTGCTACCACACTGTTGCCTGAGGTAGCTACTGGTCTATTTGCTACCACACTGTTGCCTGAGGTAGCTACTAGTCTATTTGCTACTATAATGTTGCCTGAGGTAGCTACTGGTCTATTTGCTACCACACTGTTGCCTGAGGTAGCTACTAGTCTATTTGCTACTACAGTGTTGCCTGAGGTAGCTACTGGTCTATTTGCTACCACACTGTTGCCTGAGGTAGCTACTAGTCTATTTGCTACTATAATGTTGCCTGAGGTAGCTACTAGTCTATTTGCTACCACACTGTTGCCTGAGGTAGCTACTAGTCTATTTGCTACTACAGTGTTGCCTGAGGTAGCTACTAGTCTATTTGCTACTATAATGTTGCCTGAGGTAGCTACTGGTCTATTTGCTACTATAATGTTGCCTGAGGTAGCTACTAGTCTATTTGCTACCACACTGTTGCCTGAGGTAGCTACTAGTCTATTTGCTACCACACTGTTGTCTGAGGTAGCTACTGGTCTATTTGCTACTACAGTGTTGCCTGAGGTAGCTACTGGTCTATTTGCTACCACACTGTTGCCTGAGGTAGCTACTAGTCTATTTGCTACTATAATGTTGCCTGAGGTAGCTACTGGTCTATTTGCTACTACACTGTTGCCTGAGGTAGCTACTGGTCTATTTGCTACTACACTGTTGCCTGAGGTAGCTACTGGTCTATTTGCTACCACAATGTTGCCTGAGGTAGCTACTAGTCTATTTGCTACTATAATGTTGTCTGAGGTAGCTACTAGTCTATTTGCTACTATAATGTTGTCTGAGGTAGCTACTAGTCTATTTGCTACTACACTGTTGCCTGAGGTAGCTACTGGTCTATTTGCTACTATAATGTTGTCTGAGGTAGCTACTGGTCTATTTGCTACTATAATGTTGTCTGAGGTAGCTATTGGCCAGTTCTCTCTTTAGAGATAATATTTATGTTACCTTCACTTTCTGATTGTAGCACAACACTCACCTTCACTTTCTGGTGGCGCTGGTAACTTCCGTTTCCTCACTTTGGGTGATGTCTGGATCTTGTTGGCCTGCGTCCTCACCTTGGCACTCATCTTGATCTCCTCTAGAGAGAAGGGAATATATACAGACATCTTGATCTTCTCTAGAGAGAAGGGCACAGACACAGGCATCTTGATCTCCTCTACAGAAAAGGGCACAGACATCTTGATCTCCTCTACAGAAAAGAGCACAGACATCTTGATCTCCTCTAGAGAGAAGGGCACAGACACAGACATCTTGATCTCCTCTAGAGAGAAGGGCACAGACACAGACATCTTGATCTCCTCTAGAGGGAAGGGCACAGACACAGACATCTTGATCTCCTCTAGAGAGAAGGGCACAGACACAGACATCTTGATCTCCTCTAGAGAGAAGGGCACAGACACAGACATCTGGATCTCCTCTAGAGAGAAGGGCACAGACACAGACATCTGGATCTCCTCTAGAGAGAAGGGCACAGACACAGACATCTGGATCTCCTCTAGAGAGAAGGGCACAGACATCTTGATCTCCTCTAGAGAGAAGGACACAGACATCTTGATCTCCTCTAGAGACAAGGGCACATACATCTTGATCTCCTCTAGAGAGAAGGGCACAGACACAGACATCTGGATCTCCTCTAGAGACAAGGGCACAGACACAGACATCTGGATCTCCTCTAGAGACAAGGCACAGACACAGACATCTGGATCTCCTCTAGAGAGAAGGGCACAGCCAGAGACATCTGGATCTCCTCTAGAGACAAGGGCACAGACACAAACTTCTGGATCTCCTCTAGAGAGAAGGGCACAGACACAGACATCTTGATCTCCTCTAGAGAGAAGGGCACAGACACAGACATCTTAATCTCCTCTAGAAAGAAGGACACAGACATCTTGATCTTCTCTAGAGACAAGGGCACAGACACAGACATCTTGATCTCCTCTAGAGAGAAGGGCACAGACATCTTGATCTCCTCTAGAGACAAGGGCACAGACATCTTTATCTCCTCTAGAGAGAAGGACACAGACATCTTGATCTCCTCTAGAGAGAAGGGCGCAGACACAGACATCTTGATCTCCTTTAGAGAGAAGGGCACAGACACAGACATCTTGATCTCCTTTAGAGAGAAGGGCACCGACACAGACATCTTGATCTGCTCTAGAGAGAAGGGCACAGACACAGACATCTGGATCTCCTCTAGAGAGAAGGGCACAGACACAAACATCTGGATCTCCTCTATAGAGAAGGGCACAGACACAGACATCTTGATCTCCTCTAGAGAGAAGGGCACAGACATCTTGATCTCCTCTAGAGAGAAGGGCACAGACATCTTGATCTCCTCTAGAGAGAAGAGCGCAGACATCTTGATCTCCTCTAGAGAGAAGGGCACAGACATCTGGATCTCCTCTAGATAGAAGAGCGCAGACATCTGGATCTCCTCTAGAGAGAAGGGCACAGACTTTAGTCAGTAACAGACAATAAACCACATATCACACCGGGGCATCTTATGTTATCACAATCGACATCACTGCACTTTGTGTTATCCTGTTATCTCATGTGCAGCAACCACACCAAGGTATCTGTTTGACTTCACCATGCACAGACGGTATCACAGACGGTATCACAGGTGGTATGATAGCAGGGCTGACCATTGTCCGGTTGATACTTAAACAGTTATACACATAAAGAGAGTTCTGTCTCAACAACCTCTCAGACACAGAGACAAGTATACACACAACGATAGTTCTGTCTCAACAACCTATTAGACACAGAGACAAGTTTACACACAAAGATAGTTCTGACTCAACAACCTCTGAGACTCAGAGATAGAGAGGAGATCATAAATGTCTGTCTCAGTAAGCTTTCAAACATATGGTGATCACTGTCTGTGGTTTTAAACGGGTCATTCAGCTGATATCCTCAACTGAAAACTGGACACTATTGATATTTTAAATAGGAAACCGAACATCCCAAGCAAGTAGTTTGACCACTACTACTCTCCCTGCCGTCCTTTTTTTCATTCATAGGTCACCAGGGTGAAAGTGTTAATTACTCGCTACTAGCTGGGGAACAGACGATGTGGTACCTGTTTAGAGATGACGTTAGTACCGTCTTATAGCAGCTAGGGAACTGTTTAGAGATGACATTAGAACCAGCCAGTTTCGCGGGAACACAATCGTGAGTGATGGAATCAAGGCTGCAGTCAGAAACCTTGGTCTACAAACACATGTAACAAGTGGAGCCTCTAGCTGTGGATCAGACGATGTGGTACCTGTGTTCTTCATGTGTTTCTGCAGATTCTTTTGAAGCTGGGCGTCTTTGTGTTTGTCTGTCTGTGTCTCCACCACTAGCAGGATGTACTCGTCCAGGGTCATCTTCAGCACGTGCAGGAAGGCTGGACACACATGGAGAAAAGTGGTGGCCATCTCGTTAATGATGCTGGTAATTATGGTGTTTGTGATGATGATGATTATGGCGGTGATGGTGTTGATGATGGTGATATTATGGTAGACATATTGTTTTAACGTTTTATGTGTTGATGCATATAACAGTTTATTAGCTGTTCTGTTGTTCCACACACACGCACACAAACACACACACAAACACACACATACACAACCATCATCAATCAACAAGTCTTTTACAGAATGTCGCTTTCTTCACAACACACCTGAAAGTATCCCTTTTCCCTAGCCAGCTCTCCGGTCGCATGTACTTTCAATGCCAATGCATCTTTAATGTCATGTATCCATCTTCGCGGAAGTCGACCCTGGCTTCGCCCTCCACAAACTGCACCTTCCATCACCGTCTTTTCCAAGCTACCATATACATTTATTTAAATCTTTGATTTGAAACTACCTCGTGTGTGTGTTTATATATATATATATATATATATATATATATATATATATATATATATATATATATATATATATGTTTATATATACAGATACACTCTCACGTGAAGAATCTTTTCTAGCCGATGACATTTAATCGAATGTAAGACAGGCCTGCGTGCCTAATTTGTAACCCTTTGAAAATAAAGTTCGTTCGTTCGTTCGTTCCCTTAATGATTAAAACAACGGATAGCAGAATGCTGCTCCACTTGGGTGCATGTCAAAAGTGGAGCGACCATCTTTAAAATCTCATTATGACGTCATTGCGTTTGAATTAACGCGATGTTACGTGCCTAATACTCTTGACATCCTTAACAACAATTTGAAAAAGTTGCAAAACAGTGGCATGGTTATTGAAATTTAGGTCGCACTTTATATTTGCTTTCATTTGAAGCCCATTCATGTATACACACCGCACACACATACGCACACACACACATACACACATAAACGAACACACACACTCACCAGCATCCATGCACATACGCACACACATATACGCTCATGCGTACACACGCACACACATACACGAATATTTTGGCCACACAAGATCACAAATGAAGAACTGAGGAGGAAAACAAAATGTGCATCACTGGCAAATGTTATCACAGTAAGACAATGGAGATGGCTTGGACATGTTTACAGAATGCCTTGTGACACTCTGGTAAAAATAGCTCTCCGGTGGACAGCAGATGGGAGAAAGGAGATGCGAACAACCTAAGGAAACCTGAAGAAGGACAATAGAACGGGAAATGAAGGAATGTAAACTGACATGGGATACCATGGACAGAAAAGCAGCAGACCGGCAGCAATAGAGATCACTTGTGAATGCTTTATGTGTCAACAGCGCGACATAATATAGATAGGTACAGGACAGATAAAAACCATTCAGAGACTGCACATAAACAATACAGCTACTAGACATACATAAAAAATACTAATACTGGACATATATGAACAATACAGCTACTAGACATACATAAACAATACCAATACTGGACACATATAAACAATGCAGCTACTAGACATACATAAATAATATCAATACTGGACATATATAAACAATACAGCTACTAGACATACATAAACAATACCAATACTGGACACATATAAACAATACAGCTACTAGACATACATAAACAATACCAATACTGGACACATATAAACAATACAGCTACTAGACATACATAAATAATATCAATACTGGACATATATAAACAATACAGCTACTAGACATACATAAACAATACCAATACTGGGCACATATAAACAATACAGCTACTAGACATACATAAACAATACCAATACTGGACATATATAAACAATACAGCTACTAGACATACATAAACAATACTAATACTGGACATATATAAACAATATAGCTACTAGACATATATAAACAATACCAATACTGGACATACATAAACAATACTAATACTGGACATATATAAACAATACAGCTACTAGACATACATAAACAATACCAATACTGGACACATAAACAACACAGAAACCGGACACATTTAAACTATTCTGCTACGCGACAATATAAACAGTACAAATACTGGACGTACAGAAACAGCGAGCGTTGTTGAGGGTCAAATCTTTCATGATGAGTGCTCCAATCATGCTCCACTGCAGCAGAAGTCGACCCGCCCGTGCCTGGAACTTGGCCTCGCTGACCTCACTAGACTGGATGACAACACAGACACAAGATGAACTCGGCCTCGCTGACCACACTAGACTGGATGACAACACAGACACAAGATGAACTCGGCCTCGCTGACCTCACTAGACTGGATGACAACACAGACACAAGATGAACTCGGCCTCGCTAACCTCACTAGACTGGATGACAACACAGACACAAGATGAACTCGGCCTCGCTGACCTGACTAGACTGGATGACAACACAGACACAAGATGAACTCGGCCTCGCTGACCACACTAGACTGGATGACAACACAGACACAAGATGAACTCGGCCTCGCTGACCTCACTAGACTGGATGACAACACAGAAACAAGATGAACTCGGCCTCGCTAACCTCACTAGACTGGATGACAACACAGACACAAGATGAACTCGGCCTCGCTGACCTCACTAGACTGGATGACAACACAGACACAAGATGAACTCGGCCTCGCTGACCTCACTAGACTGGATGACAACACAAAACAGACACAAGATGAACTCGGCCTCGCTGACATCACTGGACTGGATGACAACAAAAAACAGACACAAGATGAACTCGGCCTCGCTGACCTCACTAGACTGGATGACAACACAAAACAGACACAAGATGTCAGCAGTAAACATTCTTGCACCAAATATTCTTCTCCTATGAGTTGGTTTAAGGAGTCCGCAGGGGGAATATGATATGAGCATTTCACTGTCAGCCATGTCTGTCTACCTCACACAAATCAGATGACAATCTTCAGTGAGGACGATGTATACCACTTGAACAATAAAACCACTATGTCTGTCTACCTCACACAAATCAGATGACAATCTTCAGTGAGGACGATGTATACCACTTGAACAATAAAACCACTATGTCTGTCTACCTCACACAAATCAGATGACAATCTTCAGTGAGGACGATGTATACCACTTGAACAATAAAACCACTATGTCTGTCTACCTCACACAAATCAGATGACAATCTTCAGTGAGGACGATGTATACCACTTGAACAATAAAACCACTATGTCTGTCTACCTCACACAAATCAGATGACAATCTTCAGTGAGGACGATGTATACCACTTGAACAATAAAAACACTATCTCTGTGTACCTCACATCCATCAGATGACAATCTTCAGTGAGGACGATGTATACCACTTGAACAATAAAACCACTATGTCTGTGTACCTCACATCCATCAGATGACAATCTTCAGTGAGGACGATGTATACCACTTGAACAATAAAACCACCATGTCTGTGTACCTCACACCCGTTAGATGACAATCTTCAGTGAGGACGATGTATACCACTTGAACAATAAAACCACTATGTCTGTGTACCTCACATCCATCAGATGACAATCTTCAGTGAGGACGATGTATACCACTTGAACAATAAAACCACTATGTCTGTCTACCTCACACAAATCAGATGACAATCTTCAGTGAGGACGATGTATACCACTTGAACAATAAAACCACTATGTCTGTCTACCTCACACAAATCAGATGACAATCTTCAGTGAGGACGATGTATACCACTTGAACAATAAAACCACTATGTCTGTCTACCTCACACAAATCAGATGACAATCTTCAGTGAGGACGATGTATACCACTTGAACAATAAAACCACTATGTCTGTCTACCTCACACAAATCAGATGACAATCTTCAGTGAGGACGATGTATACCACTTGAACAATAAAACCACTATGTCTGTCTACCTCACACAAATCAGATGACAATCTTCAGTGAGGACGATGTATACCACTTGAACAATAAAACCACTATGTCTGTGTACCTCACATCCATCAGATGACAATCTTCAGTGAGGACGATGTATACCACTTGAACAATAAAACCACTATGTCTGTGTACCTCACATCCATCAGATGACAATCTTCAGTGAGGACGATGTATACCACTTGAACAATAAAACCACTATGTCTGTCTACCTCACACCCATCAGATGACAATCTTCAGTGAGGACGATGTATACCACTTGAACAATAAAACCACTATGTCTGTCACTGAATCTTCCAGTCTGTGCTTGCATTTGCCGGGAAGACAGCGATCGTTTTACACGCTCATGCAAACTGTAGTGCAATGACAAGGGTCGTGATGCGTGTAGTGCAAGACATGGGTCATGATGTTTGTAGTGCAAGACAAGGGTCGTGATGTGTGTATGACAAGACAATGGTCCTGATGTGTGTATGACAAGACAAGGGTCGTGGTGTGTGTATGACAAGACAAGGGTCGTGATGTGTGTATGACAAGACAATGGTCCTGATGTGTGTATGACAAGACAAGGGTCGTGGTGTGTGTATGACAAGACATAGGTCGTGATGTGTGTATGACAAGACAAGGGTCGTGATGTGTGTATGACAAGACAAGGGTCGTGATGTGTGAATGACAAGACATAGGTCGTGATGTGTGTATGACAAGACATAGGTCGTGATGTGTGTATGACAAGACATAGGTCGTGATGTGTGTATGACAAGACAATGGTCGTGATATGTGTATGACAAGACATAGGTCGTGATGTGTGTATGACAAGACATAGGTCGTGATGTGTGTATGACAAGACATAGGTCGTGATGTGTGTATGACAAGACATAGGTCGTGATGTGTGTATGACAAGACATAGGTCGTGATGTGTGTATGACAAGACATAGGTCGTGATGTGTGTATGACAAGACAATGGTCGTGATGTGTGTATGGCAAGACATAGGTCGTGATGTGTGTATGACAAGACAATGGTCGTGATGTGTGTATGACAAGACATAGGTCGTGATGTGTGTATGACAAGACATAGGTCGTGATGTGTGTATGACAAGACATAGGTCGTGATGTGTGTATGACAAGACATAGGTCGTGATGTGTGTATGACAAGACATAGGTCGTGATGTGTGTATGACAAGACATAGGTCGTGATGTGTGTATGACAAGACATAGGTCGTGATGTGTGTATGACAAGACATAGGTCGTGATGTGTGTATGACAAGACAATGGTCGTGATGTGTGTATGGCAAGACATAGGTCGTGATGTGTGTATGACAAAACATAGGTCGTGATGTGTGTATGACAAGACATAGGTCGCGATGTGTGTATGACAAGACAATGGTCGTGATGTGTGTATGACAAGACAATGGTCGTGATGTGTGTATGACAAGACAAGGGTCGTGATGTGTGTATGACAAGACATAGGTCGCGATGTGTGTATGACAAGACAATGGTCGTGAGGTATGTATGACAAGACATGGGTCGTGATGTGTGTATGGCAAGACAAGGGTCGTGATGTTTGAATGGCAAGACAAGGGTCGTAATGTATGTATGACAAGACAATGGTCATGATGTGTGTATGACAAGACAAGGGTCGTGATGTGTGTATGACAAGACAAGGGTCGTGATGTGTGTATGGCAAGACATAGGTCGTGATATGTGTATGGCAAGACATAGGTCGTGATGTGTGTATGGTAAGACATGGGTGGTAATGTGTGTATGACAAGACATAGGTCGTGATGTGTGTATGGCAAGACATAGGTCGTGATGTGTGTATGGCAAGACATGGGTCGTGATGTGTGTATGGCAAGACAAGAGTGGTGATGTGAGTATGACAAGACAAGGATCGTGATCTGTGTATGACAAGACAAGGGACGTGATCTGTGTATGACAAGACACGGGTTGTGATGTGTGTATGACAAGACACGGGTTGTGATGTGTGTATGACAAGACATGGGTCGTGATGTGTGTAGTGCAAGACAAGTGTCGTGGTGTGTGTATGGCAAGACATAGGTCGTGATATGTGTATGTATTTACCGTAAACTTTGTTGTGCTGCCATGCCAGATGGGAACCTCAAGGATTAGGACTGAGTACACTAATCCCAGAGAGAAACCCCTAGTGCTGGTAAGTAAATGTTTAATTCCCACTTACCTGGAGCACACACTTGTCAATCAAACTGTCAATCCACTCTGTAAAAGTCTCTACCTGTGATTGTTTTCGAAGCAGATTTTTGATCTCCTCAAACACTGGAGAATATAGAGTAACAAAGGGGAGTTGAAGGAAACAGATGAGTGAAGGTAGATAGGTGAGCATAGTGAGATATGTGAGGGCAGGAAGACAAGTGAGTAGAGAGAGAGAGAGGTATGTGAGTAATGTGAGACAGGTGAGTAGAGTGAGACAGTTGAGTTGAGAGAGACAGGTGAGTAGAGAGAGAGAGAGATAGGTGAGCATAGTGAGATATGTGAGGGCAGGAAGACAAGTGAGTAGAGTGCTAATCTCTTCTTGATGATCCATCTGTGATTCCGTTTTGTTCATTCCCCCACCCACCCTCACCCCCCTCCCCCGAAGGGTCCTTACAAAATGAATATTCTCAAGCACCAGTTCACCATAAATTTGTGCATCGCCAGCAACACATTGTAGACTACGTCGGCTGGAGATGGGGGAGGAGTTGTGGCAAGTTAAACATTGTAGACTGTGTCGGCTGGAGATGGGGGAGGAGTTGTGGCAAATTAAACATTGTAGACTACGTCGGCTGGAGATGGGGGAGGAGTTGTGGTAAGTTAAACATTGTAGACTGTGTCGGCTGGAGATGGGGGAGGAGTTGTGGCAAATTAAACATTGTAGACTACGTCGGCTGGAGATGGGGGAGGAGTTGTGGTAAGTTAAACATTGTAGACTATGTCGGCTGGAGATGGGGGAGGAGTTGTGGTAAGTTAAACATTGTAGACTACGTCGGCTGGAGATGGGGGAAGGAGTTGTGGTAAGTTAAACATTGTAGACTGTGTCGGCTGGAGATGGGGGAGGGGTTGTGGCAAATTAAACATTGTAGACTACGTCGGCTGGAGATGGGGGAGGAGTTGTGGTAAGTTAAACATTGTAGACTATGTCGGCTGGAGATGGGGGAGGAGTTGTGGCAAATTAAACATTGTAGACTACGTCGGCTGGAGATGGGGGAGGAGTTGTGGCAAATTAAACATTGTAGACTACGTCGGCTGGAGATGGGGGAGGAGTTGTGGTAAGTTAAACATTGTAGACTATGTCGGCTGGAGATGGGGGAGGAGTTGTGGCAAATTAAACATTGTAGACTACGTCGGCTGGAGATGGGGGAGGAGTTGTGGTAAGTTAAACATTGTAAACTACGTCGGCTTTTGGGATAAGATAAATCAAACACTTTCGGCTCGGAGAATAGGGCAAATTAACAACTTTAGACTATGTCGGCTTGGGGAATAATGCAAATTAAACACTTTATGTCGGCTCGAGGATGGGGTAAATCGAATATTTTCGGTCTGCATCTGTGGCTTAGGCGTTGCAAACGGGCTTGGTAATGCCGGGGGGCCGGGTTCGATTCCTGCTGTGGATGGTTAGTCTTCGGCAGTGGTACCGAGAGCTGACCGTTGAGAAAAAAACTGGTAAACTTCTGAACATAAAATTTGCCTAGAATTACAATAACAGCCAATAAATGCTGGGGTTGGTTCTGCAACGTCTTTTAAAGGATACGCGACCACCTCTTTTAGACTATATCGGCTCGGGGCCAGGGTAAATTAAACAGGTATGGCGGTCTTCAATGTACCTATTGCCACTGAGTCGATGCTACCCGCTGCGCCATGGAGGCGTGTGTGTAGCACCAAGGTCCCATCTGGGAGTGAGAGTATGGTTAAAGCATTGACTAGACACAAGGTGACAAGGTCACAAGGAGACAAGGTCAGGTTTACCCGCTGCTGCCTTGTCTCCGTTGACCAGCGACTTGTCGTTCAAGGCAAAACTCGTCTGCACGCACATCTGGTCAAAGTCGATGTCGTCCAGGTCACTGGCCGCTCTGTTGGTCACTTCGGCTGTGCTCATCTGTGGTCTTGCTGTCTGTAGAATGCCACAATAGGTCACACACAGCCGGACAATGGTCTGCCACGCTTACAAACAGACACAGCTAATGACAAACTTTCGAGTGACCAGCAGACAGACAGAAAGTATACAGATGACAATTATTGGCTATCCTCTGAATAACGGCCACATATTATGGCGGCCTCAAAAACACTCTAACAGGGCCTCAGTCACATGTAAATTGCGGACTTCCTGCGACTTAAATTGCGCACTTCCGGCGACTACCGCCACCGCCAAAAGTATCTGCCAAGCCCCAGCGTGGATTGGGGCTAAACTAGACGGCTGGGACTCACGAGCAGCAGCTTCCGCATCTCCTGCAGCTTTGCTCGTGAGTCCCAGCCATCTAGTTTGGACCCAATCCACGCAGCGCGTAGCGGCGTGAGAGATACTCTCGGCGGTGGCAGTAGTCGCCGGAAGTTCGCCATTTACATGTGACTGAGGCGCTGCTTTTGGCCGCCATAAAATGTGGCCATTATTCGGAGGATAGCCCAATTATTATATAACATTCATGATATCCTTCATAAATGATGCTAGTCAACTATAAACATAATGAGAGAGGCAAAGAGAGAGAGAGAGAGAAATATATATATATATATATATATATATATATATATACATATATATATATATATATATATATATATATATATATATACAGAGAGAGAGGCAGAGAGAGAGAGAGGCAGAGAGAGAGACAGAGAGAGAGAGGCAGAGAGAGAGAGAGGCAGAGAGAGAGACAGAGAGACAGAGAGAGAGGCAGAGAGAGAGAGAGAGGCAGAGAGAGAGAGAGGCAGAGAGACAGAGAGATTCTAAGATACCAGAATCTGTCCACAACATCGTATTGACCCAGCCAACATTTGACTAGTCTCTGGTCTCATTTGTAGTCAACTCATTTGTAGTCAACTCATCTGTAGTCAACTCATCTGTAGTCAACTCATCTGTAGTCAACTCATCTGTAGTCAACTCATCTGTAGTCAACTCATCTGTAGTCAACTCATCTGTAGTCAACTCATATGTGGTCAACTCATCTGTAGTCAACTCATCTGTAGTCA